CCTGAGTGAATGTTTGGAGGTGTAGGCACCTCGGAATGATTGTGTTAAGCTAGCACTAAGTCCCTCCCCCATCCACCTTTATTCTTTTCTTTACAATAAGGCTTTCAAATAAGTCATGGCTGTACGGCAGTGAAGCATTGGTGTTGAGCACTGATGTCATGCTGTCGTTGATGATGATGATGAACGACCATCATACCATTTTTTGGTAAACACCTTGCACTTACACAGTACAGAGCCATGCCCCAGAATATGAAGTCTCCAAACACGTCTCTCGTAATTCGTGAAGCACTAGGGACTGTCGAGAGTCTCACATCAACCCCGAAGAAAGTATGTCCGATGAAGTCAGTGTACTACTTTTAAAGGCTTGAATAATGCTCACTCAATAAGGCCAATTTTGGTGTCAGGATGGTATATCACTACACCTCAAGGGGCGCGCTCACTAGGCTGCAGTACCGGTTGTGTTTTGCATGGTTGAGAGAGGGCCTCTGGTGCCTTTCAGGCTTTAGACTACCGATGCCTAAGAATTGTTCGTGGTGTTAGATGGCTGTTGGATAAACGTAACAAGTTAATGAGAAAACCGGTATTTGTTTGTGCAGTGGGGAATTCAATCGCGTAAAACACACCCACCCATCCACACAAGTTGCAGTAGGTCAGCTATGTCCAATGTCGCTACACTTGCCATATCATCGTCTACCGAGAGGAGTGTTGTTATCCGCTGGGCGGTACTGACTGAGATGGACGCTGTGTGACTCAGTAGAAATGCATAAAATGAATTGGAAGATGAAATCCTTCGTGACCATCTCTGCTCTTGGTAGGAGTAGCTTCGAGATATAACGGTTAATCGGCGTTAGCGTTACCAGTTTCCTTCGATTAGCTGAATGCGTACAAGTCCGCATTCACACCGCTTCCTTGTTCCACCTTGGGGCTTTTGTAGGAAAAGCAGTAAAGCAATAGCGTTATTGGGTATTGGATATTGTCAGTCAACAGCTCTGTGCTTTGTTCGTGCGCGCTAGTTCCAGTTGAAACAAGAGGTGCGAAAGCGGTGGCTTGGTGCATGGGCATGGAGGAAGTTAGGCAAGTTAGGCTTCGCCTCTGTAGGCTCAGTTTGTCTTAAGCATTATAGCCTGACGAGCAATAGGCGCTGTTGGCAAGACACTTAGAAACAACTAAAAACCAAATCCAATGGCATGAATATCTGGTTTTGTGAGGCAAGACAAAATGGCAGAACTGCACGCAGTCAAACATGAAAAAAGGTACTCATACTATCCTATTTAATACATTCTCCTCTTTTCTCACAACACCTTGATTTGTGTGGTGCTAATTCTGATGTTAGACTGGTATATATATATATATATATATATATATATATGCACATGGGATTAAAATGACTCACATCGACTGTGAAATGACCGTGGAGTCCACTTCAGAACCATCAACAACAACCAAACGAAGGTTGCCTGTAGTTGAGCACATAATGAGCGATTCGCGTCGCATAGTAAGGTTTCGTTGCGTCGGCGACCGGTGATGATCCGAAACCTTCGAACTGTCGAAATTGATTAAAAATATTAATCAAACCTAATTAGCGCGTTATGTGCGGAAACTGATTTTCAGGAAGTTATCAGATCCATAACAAATAGAAAGAGAAAACGAGATTAGTTCCACTGTTCCGTTATGTCCACTGAGACACCTTTGGCTGTAGACGAATATTCATAATACATATATTCCTGGGAATGATAGCGTACTTCGCTCGACACCAAATCGACCTAAACGGTACCCGTCGAAATATCGGTATGCGCCAAGCGCCAGAGATAGCTTCAAAAAATTCAAATAAATTGTTGTATATCCGCAATATGCGGTTCACACCTACTAAGTGCAGCTTAGATCATCCATAGGAAACAATCGGGGCGAGTAAATAAGTCAACTTGCACAGCAAAGGGTCAGGCACCGTCTGCGATTCCTAACTGCATTAAAAATGGTACGCCAAACAACAAACCCTACACGGTGGCTGTGACGCATGGCAATGGAATTGAACTTTCAAAAGCTACGACGTGTCCCTGATGAATCAAAACAGACGGGCAATGGAGTTCAGAATACCAGTCCAGACTTTCGAGTCCCATCTAGGCATCCCGGGTCCAAGTGCTGGTAGCAAAGTATTCCAGTAGAATTTTTCCGCCAGAGGTATGATAGCTCCAGTGAACAATTAAACCTGGTGAGTTACGACAATATGAGCGTAGATTTGGCTGGTGTTTAGTTCGCTCACATACGCAACAAAATGCAACGTAAAGTTTTATTCCATTTGCAAGGTTTTGCAGCTAAGAGCATTGTGCGGCCGAGGAGCCCCGTGAGATTCCTCGTCATTCTTCCTACTTTCACTTTTTACTCAGAAATAAACAAGCCTATCAAGCTGATGACTCATGCGTTGTAATACTAATTGGATTCTTTGGTAGTGATCGTTCGACAGTGTGACCCATCGACGTTTTCTTAGTTACAACTCTCTCGTTGACTGAACAGGAAACACTGTAAATCTACTGAATACCACGGTAGAATGCACTAAACAATCACCGTAAAAGAAGTTGAGAGTTTGATTTGTAGCCCTGACCTCAAATCAAGATGGAGTACCAGCGACCAGAACAATGAATGACTCAAGAAGTGAGTGAATGCAGCTCGCGTCATTCGATCCATTTGTGGAACGACATTGTGGTAAGCTTACTGAGCACTTCTTCACAGAACTGATGTGATCATGGTTGCAAAACTTAGCAAACCAGGACACATCAATCGGAAGATGGAGAAGCAAACGTAGATATCTAATGTGAGGTATTCTACACTGTTGAAGATACAGGACATATCGAGGTATAGTGAAGTAAAAACTCATGTTTTCAGATAGAGGATGTTTCGTGCAGAGAAAGATCAAACGGTGGTTCGCACCGCCTGGAGACGAACGTAAATGATCGGGTATTTTACTGAAGTATTGACACTGCATTCACTGAATGGTTCTGCCTGTTGGTTATTGGACAAGTTTTCTTATTCCTGCATTATATTCTGGCATCGTTTTGGGAGTGACCTTCAACTTGGTCCCGGATGGTGTTTCTCACAAAGATTGGGTACTATACACCAAAACGGTTGGTAAGGTGCGTCATAGAAACATAAAATTAAGGTTGCTGAAGAGCAGCAACTGAAACAACCAGTCAAACATCTGCACATTGCACAGTCCGATTTGGGGCACCTCGCGCCGAAGATTACTGAATTACTTGGCGAGCTTTATTCATCGAATTAGGCTTCATTGCAAAACGACATAGAATGGAGAATGAACGATCAAGAGACGATGCACTACAAATGGTTCCGGTCAAATCGGTTTATGGTGTCTGCGAGTTTTTGGTTTAGAGGACCTACCCTACCAACAGTTGGCAGGGTCACGCACCTCCAAAAAATCCAGCAGACTGTGAAATGACCGTGGAGTCCACTTCAGAACCATCAACAACAACCAAACGAAGGTTGCCTGTAGTTGAGCACATAATGAGCGATTCGCGTCGCATAGTAAGGTTTCGTTGCGTCGGCGACCGGTGATGATCCGAAACCTTCGAACTGTCGAAATTGATTAAAAATATTAATCAAACCTAATTAGCGCGTTATGTGCGGAAACTGATTTTCAGGAAGTTATCAGATCCATAACAAATAGAAAGAGAAAACGAGATTAGTTCCACTGTTCCGTTATGTCCACTGAGACACCTTTGGCTGTAGACGAATATTCATAATACATATATTCCTGGGAATGATAGCGTACTTCGCTCGACACCAAATCGACCTAAACGGTACCCGTCGAAATATCGGTATGCGCCAAGCGCCAGAGATAGCTTCAAAAAATTCAAATAAATTGTTGTATATCCGCAATATGCGGTTCACACCTACTAAGTGCAGCTTAGATCATCCATAGGAAACAATCGGGGCGAGTAAATAAGTCAACTTGCACAGCAAAGGGTCAGGCACCGTCTGCGATTCCTAACTGCATTAAAAATGGTACGCCAAACAACAAACCCTACACGGTGGCTGTGACGCATGGCAATGGAATTGAACTTTCAAAAGCTACGACGTGTCCCTGATGAATCAAAACAGACGGGCAATGGAGTTCAGAATACCAGTCCAGACTTTCGAGTCCCATCTAGGCATCCCGGGTCCAAGTGCTGGTAGCAAAGTATTCCAGTAGAATTTTTCCGCCAGAGGTATGATAGCTCCAGTGAACAATTAAACCTGGTGAGTTACGACAATATGAGCGTAGATTTGGCTGGTGTTTAGTTCGCTCACATACGCAACAAAATGCAACGTAAAGTTTTATTCCATTTGCAAGGTTTTGCAGCTAAGAGCATTGTGCGGCCGAGGAGCCCCGTGAGATTCCTCGTCATTCTTCCTACTTTCACTTTTTACTCAGAAATAAACAAGCCTATCAAGCTGATGACTCATGCGTTGTAATACTAATTGGATTCTTTGGTAGTGATCGTTCGACAGTGTGACCCATCGACGTTTTCTTAGTTACAACTCTCTCGTTGACTGAACAGGAAACACTGTAAATCTACTGAATACCACGGTAGAATGCACTAAACAATCACCGTAAAAGAAGTTGAGAGTTTGATTTGTAGCCCTGACCTCAAATCAAGATGGAGTACCAGCGACCAGAACAATGAATGACTCAAGAAGTGAGTGAATGCAGCTCGCGTCATTCGATCCATTTGTGGAACGACATTGTGGTAAGCTTACTGAGCACTTCTTCACAGAACTGATGTGATCATGGTTGCAAAACTTAGCAAACCAGGACACATCAATCGGAAGATGGAGAAGCAAACGTAGATATCTAATGTGAGGTATTCTACACTGTTGAAGATACAGGACATATCGAGGTATAGTGAAGTAAAAACTCATGTTTTCAGATAGAGGATGTTTCGTGCAGAGAAAGATCAAACGGTGGTTCGCACCGCCTGGAGACGAACGTAAATGATCGGGTATTTTACTGAAGTATTGACACTGCATTCACTGAATGGTTCTGCCTGTTGGTTATTGGACAAGTTTTCTTATTCCTGCATTATATTCTGGCATCGTTTTGGGAGTGACCTTCAACTTGGTCCCGGATGGTGTTTCTCACAAAGATTGGGTACTATACACCAAAACGGTTGGTAAGGTGCGTCATAGAAACATAAAATTAAGGTTGCTGAAGAGCAGCAACTGAAACAACCAGTCAAACATCTGCACATTGCACAGTCCGATTTGGGGCACCTCGCGCCGAAGATTACTGAATTACTTGGCGAGCTTTATTCATCGAATTAGGCTTCATTGCAAAACGACATAGAATGGAGAATGAACGATCAAGAGACGATGCACTACAAATGGTTCCGGTCAAATCGGTTTATGGTGTCTGCGAGTTTTTGGTTTAGAGGACCTACCCTACCAACAGTTGGCAGGGTCACGCACCTCCAAAAAATCCAGCAATAATGAAACCTGTCATGAACCGGCAAATCTGCAGTCAGTAAATTTTGTACTAACCTTACCGTCCAGAACTAGGTAACGAAGTATGGGAAATACGCTATGGTATTTTCTAAGGACAAACGAGAAAACGGATAAAGGAGATGAGTAATGATTCCTGAAAAAACAAAAGCAACTTCTGTAGCAGGTGAAGAACACCCATATATCACACCTTTAATATTTTCGGTCGAACAACTCATAAACGAACACAACACGTCATTAATCCGCTACACTGCTGATGGCATGCTTTGAACGCGGATTGGGTGTAGTGAAAGCTCAGTCAGAAAGTGCGAAAGACGTACAGTTGTCACGGACAGTCCGTACAAACGACAAGCAATGATTGACAAAGTACGAAAAATATATGCCATATACGTCCTCCAGAAACAAGGACGATGATTGAATAAGCGACTGAAGATGTCTGTGCTAAGCGCTTTTTCTTCATCTTTTTTGAACAACAGAGCTTTTCCGATCAAATTAATGTGACTGTATGGCGCTCCAAGGGAAGGGCGACGACGAACGGTTACGGAAGATAAACTTCACGGAAACATTATCATAGTAAAGTCGACCACTGTATTCCAATAGAAGCGATTAAAAGGACGGAAACGTACTTTTCATCACGCTCTAAAGCAAACATGAAAGATGGTGGGGAAGATGACTCCGTTGGCTTCGCGACCGACTGATACCAATCCTGTGAGAATAAGAGAATGGATAGAAAATACAGGTCAAGAGTTTGAACATCTAGCTAAGGTTTTACTGACTTAAAAGCAAGGCGGTGAAAAATAATTCAAAGTCAGGAGCCTCACTCAGGCAGTGATCAAAACATGGACGTGAAGTCCACATTGCTCTATAACACAGATGGTATAGTCCATCGTCACTTGTTTCCTTGAAGGAACACATCTCGGTGACAAATAATGTGAACCTGCCTAGTCACCAACAACACTGCACCCTTCTCAGTGGAAAGGAGAACATTCGAAGCAGACAGATCATCTGAACTGAAGAGGTATCAACGCATGGTGGAGTTGGGATGCTTTTCACCTGGAAAAGCGATATGCTTACAATGTACCGCCAGTAGTTGGTAAATTTCTTGTTGCCGGTTGTTTGTGGTCTGCATTTACCTATATCGTCATCCTTGGCTGTAGGTCAACTGTCGCCTGAACAACAACGAAATAACCCAACACAGTCAGCAACGTCTCCATATACTGTCAACAATAGCGGTTTTTTATGGGGGGGGGGGGGAAGGTCACCAACAACACTGCACCCTTCTCAGTGGAAAGGAGAACATTCGAAGCAGACAGATCATCTGAACTGAAGAGGTATCAACGCATGGTGGAGTTGGGATGCTTTTCACCTGGAAAAGCGATATGCTTACAATGTACCGCCAGTAGTTGGTAAATTTCTTGTTGCCGGTTGTTTGTGGTCTGCATTTACCTATATCGTCATCCTTGGCTGTAGGTCAACTGTCGCCTGAACAACAACGAAATAACCCAACACAGTCAGCAACGTCTCCATATACTGTCAACAATAGCGGTTTTTTATGGGGGGGGGTAAGCATTCCATTGCTTCGAGGCATGTCCTCCACGAGAAAATGCACGTCAGATGGTCTGACCTTCAGTACCTCTGTAATAGCTTAAGCTTGTTGGGAATACCGGATCAGGAAAGTTGGGTGCATCAACTATAGCCCATCGACTGAAAAAAAAACAACGTACACATCACATTTTACGCCGTTTGAACTACTCAGTGTAAGAATACCATACCACACCATTGGTAGAGATACGACAACAGTGAACAATCAATTCCATACAAACCTTAAGGAAGAAAGTCTCAGTTGTGTCAGAAGGGAAAGCAAAAATTCACACAGTCCTAGGCGCGCACACCTTGGAAAACAGTGACACAGAGTGACACAGCATCAGTAAGATTGACGTAGAACCTTTTTGTACCAAGCCTAATACAAACTCCAGGACATAACGCGAAGCCGTATCAGATCGACCACGTGATAGGTGAATACGGTCTAGTGCTCAACAAACCTGGAGAGGACCTATAAGGTGAAGCCAAATGATTTTAAGAACTGAGGCATGATCCATTCACAAAACCGGAGTTCAAGCACCTGAGGTGTTGCTCGGACCGCAAAGCTACCTTAGACTCCCATCCGAACTAAAAATTAGAACATAGCCATGCAGTCTGTAACCATCATTTATACTGAACTCCTAGAACCTATTGCACAAAATACAATGGTTGCTCCTAGTGTCGGTGGGTGAAACTTGCCATGACCTCCTAACGTGAATTCTATCAGATAAATACGACAAAACAGAGAATTCCGAAAAGGAACGCCCACATTCATGGACGTTTTTGCATTTTACATGAACTGTTTACAAGAATTAGGAACAAATCACTGAGATATAGTCTCACAAGGTGAAACCTCCCCTCAAACGAAGGATGCGCTGTTAAGTGGTGCATTTCTCTGGTCAACACCCCGTTCCTACTCGTTCTTGAATTCGCGGATGAATGAGTTAGTGCGTTGATGCAGTGTTTTTAGGATGGACCACCAGGCAAACACAAATCACACTCCAAAGCGACGCGTTTTGTTCCAGACTGGTGTTGTTCATAGTCATTTTAGCGTCTCCTTCCAAGAGGGATAGGATATCTGTTTGCACGTACGTGTACGATTGCTTAACGGGTCAGGATCAGATGTGGTTTAGCTTGAACTTTGAGAATAGACACTTGCTTGTTACACAGTGTCTAAACTAATTTTTATTTGTGAGTTTGAAGGGTATTCTCGAGCTGATGAAGCCAGCCGATGAGCCAATAGTCTATGGGGTAAGGAAAAACGATTCCATTGATAGGAGAAATTATCACTACTATTCATGTGGCAAGTCACCACAGACGCGAAGGATTGTGCGAAATGAAAATTCCTGATGAAAGTATAGTCGGATATTGAAAGGCTTAGCCATGTTCGTGCTTTCATCTTTCCCAATACAACACAGAGCGATCGGAAATGTGACTTGAATCTCTCACCACACCACAAGTAAAATAGGAAAAGATTGTCTAACTTTTTCAGTAAAAGTCAATTGTGGGAAAGCGGGGCAACTCTCGAAGTGAAACCTCTAACAATTATAGTTATCAGGTACTCGGGATGAATACGGCTGAATGACAATGTCTTGTCGCTGAGCCCATCAGAACCGCAGTGTAGTCAGGATAGTAACAGTTCGAAGGCCTGGGAAAGCAAACTTCTCCATGAAAAATCAACATATTTGTTTAATCACATGAAAAAGACTAAAGGTGAATGCAGGTGAATGCATACATGGGCATTTAACATAAATCTAAAAAACCTTTTAAAATTTTTGGTCCTCCGATGGGTATCCCCCACTGAGAAGATTTACTGTGTAATTCGGGTACACTGTTACCTAGCCAGAACGAAATCAGGGAGACTTTCTTGTGTGTAACAATTAAGTTGTTGAATACGTTCCGTGTTTCCTAGAGCTTTTCGGCAAGGACGACCACAATGTGAAAGCACTATGTCAACGAGAAGAGGAATAGCCAATCACGTGCCAACACACACGGAAACGACAATGCTGGGTCGAAAGGACCAAAACAATAGAATAAGCCTGAAAATATTGGCAATATGCCTGAATATTGATAGTGCAGGTGAGTTCATTGGTTGTCGACCAAGTGGTTGTCGTTCGCCCAGCTTGGCAAACGTTCAGTCACCATGCGAGGATACATCATCAGTGGACACACTGACAACCAACTGCCACCTGGTGAAAATTTTACATTAGGGCATATCCTGTCGTACTATACTCATCAACATGGATACATTTGAGCATATTAACTGAGACTACGTTAACCCCACCTATGAAAGTTGCCTTTACTAGGGAGCGCAGTCTGTGCGCAAAGTTAAAAAAATAAGACCTTTCACATTGCACTTACGTGCCCGATGAAACCGGAGGAACAGGCTTTCGAGACAAACGAAGACGGCTGTTATAAAAAAAATTGGCAAACTCACCAGAGCGACGCCAGCTCCCCAATCACCAAAAGATAGCCGTTGTATCAACTTCAAATTGTGTAAACTCCATAGTTCCAAATGCTGATTCCGCAACAATATTGCGAGGTATTGCCTTCAAACGGAAGTGATTCATACAAAGACAGTCAGAAGCAGCTGATCATTGGAACCGCTCTATATTAGAAAGTTTCATTTCATTATTCGTTGCTCTGCACGTCGAGATATGATACCGAAACTACTGTATATCTATCATCTATGTGAAGTCATAAAGTTTATGTTAGGAACAGTTTGCTTGTGCAAGCTTCAGCCTCGCGTTCAACAAAACTATGGGAATTTCGACTAGCAAATGTGGAATTCTCAGAATTGGTGTAAATATGATGTAAATAAGTTAAGCTACGATAGCAACATTCGCGGCATTCAAGTAGGAAACAGGTGATCAGGATAATCATGAAGCTTAGGGGATTGGAATCCAAATACCATGAAGAAACGATACCGAAGGATGGTAATCAGTGTAGCAGAAAAGATCTGATTTTGTAAACCACAGAACGGACAGTGGGCGTTCTTCCTCCATAAAGGCCGTCTCACATAAATGACGCCGCACGCTACGGCTGACCGAAACGACGGGATAAAAGTATACCAGGCCAGAATTGGTTCGGTGAGTGGGATACTGGGAATCGATTGCCTGCTTGATTACCTTGACGGGCAAATTACTATGACGTGATGAATAGAGTGGTTGACGTTCAGGAAATACGAGTGGTGTCAAGTGTTCGGTACCATTAGTTGAGCTAATTTACCTCCAACATGCGGCTGCTACATGGTATCGTTCTTTAGAAATAACGGCGCAGCACACATGATATCATCACACGGGTAGGATAGGCAGCATTGTTGTCCATCAAATTTCCTCTCTGGACGCCGTGTATTCAGTTGCCACATGTATGGGAGAAAACAACGTAAGGTGTCGTCTGGTACTATTTTCTTGTACGGAAGTATTGTCTGAGTAATACCTATCAGAAAGAAACCGTTTTGACATTTCCCGAACTTCTACACTGAGTACAGCCGTTCCTCCTTGTAGGAACGCTCAAAGTAAGAAAAATTTTGAGGGAAATAATTTTGCGAGTCACTTTCTCTTGCGACCTAAATCCTCTATGTTAGCAAGATACTCCATTAGTTGAACGGGAACCGTTTCGCATCACAAATATGAACAAAACAACCAGCGTATTACTGGTTAACAGTTTCAATTGTGAGGTGGATATCACTTCACTTGTCAGACAATGTCAAGTGAAGCGGGTTCCATTGATCCAACGGACAAATTATAGTCCGTTTGTGGCCGAACGTTCCTCAAAAAAATAGCACAACTGTTCGTCTTTCGGGAAAAAAACGAAGGCTGTGCGCCTTAGCAAAGCGACCTAGAGATTATGAGTGCATACGCTGTTGACTGTCGTCAGGCTTGCCATGTAGTTCAGAACAAAAACGTCAACATGTAAATAAACAAACGCCCATGTACTCAAAGAAAACATGCTCCCGTAAGGAAAGGCTTCTTTCGTGATAAAATAACGGGACCACCTATGCCCTTCACAATTGCTCCATTCTCAGGTAGCAGAAATAAATTACCTTTAATCAGTAGATGAAAGCTCCCGTGAGAAATCGGTTAATAAACGGAGACCCATGTACTCAAAGAAAACATGCTCCCGTAAGGAAAGGCTTCTTTCGTGATAAAATAACGGGACCACCTATGCCCTTCACAATTGCTCCATTCTCAGGTAGCAGAAATAAATTACCTTTAATCAGTAGATGAAAGCTCCCGTGAGAAATCGGTTCCAGAATACACGAGAGCATCAAACAGATCACCCACCACTATGGCTTTAGATAATCGGGGATACAGACAGAAATAAGGGACACTAAATGTAAGGCCATTTGAACATATGGCACATTCACTGTATCACGGCTCAGATTTCTGACAATTTAGTGCGCTTTTTAAAGCGTCTCACGCTCTCACACTTGAAATAAAGTTCCATCTGGTTGCGACATAGGCAAATTAGCAATAGTAAATGGTTTGTGCGACTTTTATGTATGCTCCCAGACATTGAACTGCCACTGTGCCATGAGTAGATAGGCGGGATATTTGAAGAGGAGAAAGCTTGAAACTGATAAAGAAGTTATCGGTTCAAGAGGTTTTTTAACGTTCGGTGTATGTATTGCTGGACTACGTCAAGAAAACTAGTCATCTCCTAGTTAGTGTAGGGTAGTGACAGCCAACGTAGAAACACAAACTAAAAACTCACCCGTAGTGACTGACATGTGCGCATTCAATCGGACTTTCATATGAGGGGGTTGAAGCCGAATTAGTGCCTCGACGAACAGGTGTAATTTACCTCCAACATGCGGCTGCTACATGGTATCGTTCTTTAGAAATAACGGCGCAGCACACATGATATCATCACACGGGTAGGATAGGCAGCATTGTTGTCCATCAAATTTCCTCTCTGGACGCCGTGTATTCAGTTGCCACATGTATGGGAGAAAACAACGTAAGGTGTCGTCTGGTACTATTTTCTTGTACGGAAGTATTGTCTGAGTAATACCTATCAGAAAGAAACCGTTTTGACATTTCCCGAACTTCTACACTGAGTACAGCCGTTCCTCCTTGTAGGAACGCTCAAAGTAAGAAAAATTTTGAGGGAAATAATTTTGCGAGTCACTTTCTCTTGCGACCTAAATCCTCTATGTTAGCAAGATACTCCATTAGTTGAACGGGAACCGTTTCGCATCACAAATATGAACAAAACAACCAGCGTATTACTGGTTAACAGTTTCAATTGTGAGGTGGATATCACTTCACTTGTCAGACAATGTCAAGTGAAGCGGGTTCCATTGATCCAACGGACAAATTATAGTCCGTTTGTGGCCGAACGTTCCTCAAAAAAATAGCACAACTGTTCGTCTTTCGGGAAAAAAACGAAGGCTGTGCGCCTTAGCAAAGCGACCTAGAGATTATGAGTGCATACGCTGTTGACTGTCGTCAGGCTTGCCATGTAGTTCAGAACAAAAACGTCAACATGTAAATAAACGGAGACCCATGTACTCAAAGAAAACATGCTCCCGTAAGGAAAGGCTTCTTTCGTGATAAAATAACGGGACCACCTATGCCCTTCACAATTGCTCCATTCTCAGGTAGCAGAAATAAATTACCTTTAATCAGTAGATGAAAGCTCCCGTGAGAAATCGGTTCCAGAATACACGAGAGCATCAAACAGATCACCCACCACTATGGCTTTAGATAATCGGGGATACAGACAGAAATAAGGGACACTAAATGTAAGGCCATTTGAACATATGGCACATTCACTGTATCACGGCTCAGATTTCTGACAATTTAGTGCGCTTTTTAAAGCGTCTCACGCTCTCACACTTGAAATAAAGTTCCATCTGGTTGCGACATAGGCAAATTAGCAATAGTAAATGGTTTGTGCGACTTTTATGTATGCTCCCAGACATTGAACTGCCACTGTGCCATGAGTAGATAGGCGGGATATTTGAAGAGGAGAAAGCTTGAAACTGATAAAGAAGTTATCGGTTCAAGAGGTTTTTTAACGTTCGGTGTATGTATTGCTGGACTACGTCAAGAAAACTAGTCATCTCCTAGTTAGTGTAGGGTAGTGACAGCCAACGTAGAAACACAAACTAAAAACTCACCCGTAGTGACTGACATGTGCGCATTCAATCGGACTTTCATATGAGGGGGTTGAAGCCGAATTAGTGCCTCGACGAACAGGTGTGCCAGAAGCTGTGGTATCCATTGAAGTTGAGCGGATAGGAGTGATAAACCCAGTAATGAGATTGAGCAAAACCGTGAAATTCCGTCCTTCTTGTTGTGATTCATCCACTGAACTGTCCGCTGCAGCCGACGTCAGTCTTTCCCTGGGTTGCCAACCCTGAACAAATACACCCAGATTTAATCCATCCGATGCTGAAGCGCCATCGACATCCGGTGTCAGGGGTTCAACATCCGCCTGGCTGCAAAGGCCACCGGACGCCAGTGACACCCACTCAACACCAAGAACAGGCACGGACAAAACTTGATATTCACGCCACAGACACCCTGAATCCATATCCCATATCTAGTGGGTAGAAAGAACAAATAAACTGGAAAATGACACGGTTTGCGACAAATATCGAAGAATACACTTTACAAGAGGCGGTAGTCATCAGTACACTCCACATACGCATTCAAAAACATTCACACAGAAGGCCTCCACTTAACAAGTGACTGGCAAAAAATTTGATCCGCAAGTTTTGTTAATTCTGAAGGTCAGTTTCTATAAAACACAGGCAGTTTTTTTCTCCTATGCATTGAATTTGATATCCAATGTCTATTAAATACCGTCCTTCAATTTTGCAGTACAATATTTAATTGAAATGCTCTCCTGTGCCACTTCATGTGAAAAAATATATTGACAATCCGTTACTAAAATCTTGTACCTCTGAGCGAGGGAGAGAAATCAATCTTTCAAGTGTGATGTTGACTGGCCCCAAAGTATGATCTCTTGCAGAGAACGTCAATTGGTAATTGAACAGCACTTTACTGAAGTACTGCATTGACACGAGGAAGCAATGGACAACTTCTAGCGGCAACAGGCTGGTTTATCTAATACCAAAACAATCCAGCAGATAAATGTCATATACTGACAGTGTGTTTGGGACCACGAGTGTGTGATTTTGATAGTATTAGTCGGGATGTTGGATCTATATCGGTACAATTATCGCACCTCTGTACAGTGTCGCGCCTCCACAAATTAATTCCCCTCTCGCTCTTGCTTGCGTTAATTTCTGTACGTTGCTCCATACAGTCTTTCAGAATTTTCATGAACAGAAACTAGTGATAATTTGTCGTCTTTTACTCGCTGACAACAGTCTGTGAATTCTAGTATACAGCCTTCACCCAGTTTGCCTCGCATAATGCTTCTGGTAGCATATAACTCGGAAGTAGAATGCTATTTATCAAATGACTCGATTGTAACTTCAAAAGCGCCACGAATCCCGATTACTTACACATTCTAGAAGCACCAATGAAATCCAAAGAACGTAGTATAAAAGCTTAACATACGCGTTAAGCAATTGTACCAGCTACCACACAAAACAAGACACATGATACTTTCCCTCACAAGCCATCAAAAGAGATTGTTTGATGAATCCAGAAAGTAGGGGAGCACTGAAATCCCACCAGCCAAGTACTAATGGAAAAAACGGGCTAGGCAAGCAAAGCCAGGGTCCCACTACACAACTATGTATCGCCACCTCGAAAACGCCAAATTCACGAAACTAGCGAGTAAACTGGACAAGCGCATTAAGTGACTCAGACATCCAGATAGAGAGAAACGAATAAATACTTGAGAATACGCGGAAACGTGGGCATCCCGCATTTCGGCGGTCTCTGAAAGTACATAAAGGAATCATACTCCTACAGCCAACCATGACGCTACCAGAAAGAGTAATCTATATCATCCCAAAAGGATTATAGAGAAAAGTAGTGTCATATCAGTGAATTTCAGTTTTCAAAAAAAATGCAGTTGTTTTTTGGAAAATTGGTGGGCGTGAAAAATGACGATGAAAAGACGATAGTGTCGTTCAATATGCATGGACCTTATCACACGAGTGAAAAAAACGTTTTGCCACACTCACAAGAACACTTCCCCGTGTGTTTCCGACAGCAACAAGCGACTTATATCCAGTCACCGCAGCAAATGAACTGCTCAAGTGAGGAGGACAAACGCGACATACAGTTGGGTTGCTTTTGTTGGAGGTATATATGGATGACATCTGCAGACACAGTTTTCTGGATCTGTTAGTAGGTGAAGAGTAAAAAGGGATATATTAACGTGGTTACGAATTTTTGTGGTTTTACAAACAAGCCCGATTTGCTATCGATATGAAAAGGGGTCGGGTTAAGGAAGCTATACGCCAGAAATTTGAATATGTAACATACAGGTAAACCTCATTATTAGGAAAACCACTCAATAAGGAATTAATCAGTTCTGATTTCTCGTTTAGCCCAAAAAAGTGATACAGTGCGAAGCGCCATTGGATGCTGGAAGGTTGGACCTTGAGTTCTTCGGCGGTCGCTCATTACAGAATAGAACTAACACGGAGAATCCCCCAAATACCACGACTGCCGTGTTGTTGTACTGCGCTCCGCCCAAAAAGAACCATGTGCAACAACTGGAGTTATCTGTCCTAAAGTAACTACTAGGCTGGGCGGCGGGGAGCACAGCTCCACGAAGGCCACTTCATTTTGACGACCACTCGGTTGTCAAAGTAAACTGACAACATGTGTCAAAGGCGTTTAGTGGAGTTGAACTGAGGCAACATTTATCTACTTGCTACAAGATGCCGGTAGCAACACAACGTTAATTCACACGTACTGCATGTTATAGGATGTTCCTGGAATTCATATCCCGGGAGATTTGTGGCACCATCTAGCATGAATAAAAGCATCGAGTTCGAAAGAGACCTCCGACAAGATTAAGCTTGTCTAACAGAAGAGACTTGAAAGCAGCAGATACATCTATTAGACATGTAGTCAAAGTTCATTGTAGGTTGAAGAACGACCGGTTCCGCCCTAAGATTCCCTTTCTGGATCGGAAATTTTCCGTATATCCTGGGAAACTCGTCGAAAGCAGGCCCATCAAATGGAGTTGAATAGAAACGGGGATATATGAAATCCTGGGCGCGACAAAATCGATATTGCGAAAAACGAAAACGATTGTGTATACTGTGGTGTGCCTCCACTGATTTTCCGAAAAAGTGACCCGTGGATGCCGACACATTCAGAGGGAAAACTGCAGAAGGGTTCCGTTCAATGGATCGAACATAGCGTAGATACTAAGAAATACGACTATTATTAAATGTCCATACGTGTGATGATGAAGTGGGGTTATCCAAATGTAAAAAGGATTATTAGTTCCGTTCGTCCCTACCTTTGGTTCGCATTGGTGTTTGCGAAATTTATTGTCCTCAATAATATAGTTTACAGTGGACAACGTATAAGCATAGAAACCAATCAACAATAGCGATTATCTCTGTGTTAGGAACAAGTGGACCACGCGAACCTTCCTCATAGACAAACGAGTATTTAAATTGTCGGTTGGCACAATGAGGTCGTATACAAGCGTCCGTGTTGTAGTCAACCAGTTCATACGTCCGAATGACAGAATCATTTTCATTTTCTCAGTCCCACGCAGTCTCGAGGATCAAGATGACACAAAACCCGTCGCTGAGTACAACTTCAACATTTACTAGACTGGAGGATTAATCCGCAGAGTAACGCAGGTGATACGCGGCTTTACTGTTTGGCACCGTTCGTGAAGTGCTGGGCTGTACATTCGTCAGCATTAGTGTCAGTTTGAAAAAGCAATCTTGCATGCTGACAAAATTGAAACCACTGAGAGTCAAGGCGAGCTCGCTTGCCCTAAGGAGACAAATTAATGTTATTGGACTCGTTATTTTGGATAATCACCACTTTTACGTCTATTACGAATAGTTTTGAAATTTTCCGATAAACTCCTTTCCTCGAAGGTACAAGTTTCTATGTTTCTGTGAATGTCTCTTTCAATGGGTTTGGTTTCGAATCAATTATAATAATAACGGTAAACTTTGAGCCGTGGCACCCCTTCAGCGCCTAGCTGTCACACCATCCGAAGGGAGCATAAGGGTGATATATATCCAGGTTGTCCAATCTCAGACAAGAGCAGTCGATCTCCCCGGGTTGGGGAGAACCACAGGCCTTCCGGTCATTAAGTTTGCGCCTTAACCAGGGAGCTGCTTCGGGTTCGTTGGTAGAACCATGCTGATGTTGTCCTCATATTCGAACAGCACTTTGGAGGTTAACGCGTTACCAAACAGTGCGCTGTATTGGTTACGACTGCTGCTCTCTTCAAGTTCATCCTCTTCATTGTATGTCAGTCCTCTACCCGCTACGCAGCGAAATTCCAAACACTATATGTAGTCCCTTGGTCGAAATAAAAAAAACGTGTACGCAGTCGTGCTGGAAAGAAACACTTGAAGTAGGACTATCGTAGAGAATATCCAGCACATTCCCCGGAATGTCAGTACACCCCGAAATGCTGCTAAAAGTAACGCCTAGTTGCCGAAATCCAACCCATTTACTCAAAGTTAGAAAAAGTTCCCATCACTTCTCACGTGTAATGTCTGTATTTTTCTGCAACTCATTAATGGGCGAGTCCATAACTTGTACTGCAACAATCCTAATATATTCAGCAAAATATTACCGGTTCTGAGAATAACACGAACAGCCTTTGGTTTTCAAGAATGCTAAGCAACATACGCCAATTCCGAGGATAAATACAGGTTCAAAAAGTGTGCCGTCGTACTACTTTCATTAGGCGATGGCGCGTGAGTACTTACCTCCCCAGACCAGGCTGATGTGGTACAATGTCGGAAAGACACCAGAAGGGTTCCAGCGATTGTGGTTGCTCCGAAGACAACATTTGTAGAGGGAGTGGACGCAGGTGCCAGAACTAGAACCGAAAAAAATGGTATACTTGCCATTCGTGAAGAAATGTAAAATGAAAAACGTGTCGGTAGGAGAAATTTTCACTCAGATACAATACTGCTGAATACAACCCATCTCAACCACGAATTATACTAGTGCCGCTGGTAGCGTTTCCTTCACCTATGACGTGCGAAACGAGGGTGGATAGCAGCCGGCTGGTCAAAGCTGTCCTGAGGACGGTTGGGCTATTTCGGCGCGCCCCACGGAGAGGAGTGGTTCAATGAGTATGAAGAAAACATCTTATGTCCCGACAAAGGTACACTGTCTATAGAGTAATCAGTCATATTGAGTAACTGACCCACGGTAGGTGCTACACGGTGAACAAAGCACCACATGGTCATGCAAAAACAGTAGATATATTACCATGGAATGGCTGGATGTCAAACAAGGTGTTTTCGAATGGCCAACATAACTACAGTGGTGAATGTTGAGTCGCGATCCCTCAGTAGTAGTGGGAACCCTCGGTTGCCATAGTAGATATGATGAGGAAGCACAAAAGGTTGTTATTAAAGGACTCAGCTGTATCGGTTTGTTAGCGCAAGCAAAAGACTCGGGCTCATTCTCCACTTGAAAAGAAATCAAAAATTACTTGGTGGTGGCTAAGTGGTAAGGAGTTGACGAGACATGTTAATCCCTACTGTCAAGTGCCAAGGCTTCTATACTCGTTCACAATTCAAAGTCTTGCTTCATGAGCTGTAGGAGAACGGAAAACGAAATTGCAATGAATTCCTCACGCGGAATTATTGAATAAACATGCAACTGCCGCTAAAAACTGGAATGACTCCTTCCCTGAATTATATTACCCCTGTACAGGCAGTTGGTCAATCTGGTGTGCCATTTCTATGGACAGGCTATTGTGTAGGCCTTGTGAAGAAACTCACCTGCACTCGACCTTCCGTCCCGCTCACGGCAATGGAAACTTCGCGGGCCTGATCAACCGTAAAAACGGGTCGAAAAGTCTGGCGGAATCGACGAGACCCCTCAACACTAGCAATCAAGTCGTACGTATACGATTCGATAGCGTAGCGAGCCTGCTTGGATCGAGATGTAGTGGCTGAAGCCGGTCTGCTAGAAGAATGTGTACCTTTCACTGGACATATTAGACCGCTGTGCGCATACACACTGAGACCACCGTTCTCATGTAGACAGATGAGTACATCCCGCTGGATGCAGCTATAGACCTGCAACGAAACGTATGTATTATTAAAGGTCAAACTCGTTGACATCGGTGAACACTTACTCGCATAAACACCTGAACAGACGATACAATAACAGAGACCTAGTGCTCCACTAGCAAATGACAAAGAGAAAACTGTGATGCATTATGTAGGTGATCCAATACGCAAAGAACGAATTTCATTTAAAGCCGAATGCAGGGTGAACAGGTGGTCCTGAAGTGTGACGTTTTGCAGCAGGTCACCGCTGTTGTTCAAGGGGGTGTCAGCCTCCAGCTTATAGCAGCCTTGTGTGGCGCGCCATTCTGGTCTTCTGATCTTTCGATTATGGAATTACAAGCGCATGAGAAACCAACAAATAAAGACTTGCAAAACCCTTTCAGATTTTGTACTGCTGTACTTCCACTTCTTGAATCATTTACACTGGGATCTCTTGGCCCAAGGGTCTGCTCTTCCCTGTAACTTCATGTGATAAAAAAACAGCATCATAGAACCGTCCTAGACAAATGCTCAAAAAGCATGAAAACCCTTATTTCCAGAGCCAAGAAAGAGCAAACCAGCAGTGACCGTGCTCCATAAAAACTACATTCATTCATTCAGGTAATAAGATGGATGAAGCACCGACAGCACATCCAAAAATGGCACCACAATCTCCGTATTATTAATTTGCTGACAGCATTCACTCCCTAACAAAGAAAGTTCCACCAACACCTTTTTATTACTCTGGAACAAAAATGTGCAACCATAGACAGATTACAAGCCGATGTTTGTGATATACAGGTTGACAGCGTTCACCCTATCGGTGTGGATAATTGAGTGGTAGTGACGGACTTCGCAAAAGGAAGTCCTGTCGAAGTACAAGCAAACGTTATGTCATTCATGTAAGGAGTACGAGTATTCACACCAAGACATACTCCAAAGTAAATTCCAAAAGATCGATAGCCTATCGATTAATTTCTGCACATGTGTGAATCCGACTACAGTAATGGCTGTAGTAGTACGAATGCGAGACTTGGCCACTTCGGTTGGAACATTTGAAACATCTTCAGGTTCTTGAATTACGATACCCCAGATCTATAGCCAGAATAAGTTGGAACAAACGAACTCCAAATGAATTGATCAGGAGACGGGTCTTGGGTAATTTACAGGGTACTGCCCTCAAAAAATGCACCCAGCAATGTAACCTAAGGTGCCTAGGGCATGTGTTACGTATACCGTGACCACCTGCAGAGATGAGCGCTGCTTTCCGGTCTTAATTCGGAGTGGCTGAAATCTACATGTGGACAAAATAAGACACGATATAAGGGAATGATGTTACGAAAAGTTTGGATGCTGTTGGTGCTGTTCGCCTTCCAGGATGGGGTTCCCCGTGATCCTTTCTGTAGTCCGATAGAAACACTGGACGCCATAGCGGATAGCCGATGCCAGGGGTGTTCATCTTGTCAGTTTCTACTGGGATTGTCTTGATGAGTGTTGGAGTTGTGGTCACCTCGGATTTGCTGTGGATTAGCCCTAAGTCCCTCTTGCTGTGTCATTTCTTTCTTCTTTACCAACATATGGCGCTATTCAAATAAACTGATATGGCTGTCCGGAGCGAAGCACCAGTGTTCTTATCTGGTGTCGCTGTCAATGATGATGGTGATACTTATTATCAGGTGTATTAGGTCCTCGCGGATACCCGGATCGGGACTTCAGACATCAACGAACAAACTAGCTGGTGCGATACTTCGCAACGCATTACAAACCGTTCAGTTAGAACATACGCGAAAGTCAATTAGGCGGGTAACGAACGATTGTGACAACTGAGGGACTGTTCAGCTATCTAGCGCAGAGTTTACAGCCAATTCACACCGGCGTTGGTTCGAAAGAATTCGGGAGTTTCTTTGTTCAAAAATAGCTTATCAAGAGCAAGATGAAGAAATTCGTGGACGTTACAGGCGGCTAATATCCTAATAGTCTTTACGGAATATTTCCCCACTGATCTTTGATAATAGTAGTGAAACCGATTATATGTAGTCGGATTTAAAAGTCTTATGTTCATTTACTGAAATTTTCGGCTCCAGCACGCCTCATCCTAAACACATTTGAGCTGACGAATAATCTATGGACTAAGGAAAAGCTACGGTACGAATGCGAAAGTTGATCTCCTCGGGTGCAAAATAAACTCTCCGTTGTTCAGCATCGGAGACCGCTGAGATAGTACGAGCGATATCGGTGCTACTTGCATTCAAGGATGGGGACCGCGTGATCCTCACTGCGCCTGGTTGGAGAAGCTGCAATCTATGGCTGCCAACCGAGTCAGTGGCGATCTTGTCGACAGTTTCTATCCAGATTGCCTGAATGAGTGTTTGGAGGTGTAGGCACCTCGGAATGATTGTAGTAAGCCAGCACTAAGTCCCTTCCCCACCCACCCTTATTCTTTTCTTCACAATAAGGCTTTCATATAAACCATGGCTGTATGGCAGCGAAGCATCGGTGTTGAACACTGATACCATGCTGTCGATGATGATGATGATGATGATGGACAAACCTGTCATATCTCGTCAGGAAGAGGAAAACAGTCTTGTCCTGTGTGGAAAACACCAATGAAAATTGGACATCTTGGCCAAGGTATTTCGAAGGATGGTACCCCACGAGTTAGGTTACCAAGCCTTACTTCACAAAATGCACAAACACAACCGAGAAGTCAATGAACGATAAGGCGTAAATGTATTAAAATACAGACTGTGATTCGCCACGATTTCTTGAGCCACACCAGAGAAGACAAACGTACAAGATAACGCAGAAATAACGAGGAATTCGGGTCTTCTTCGCATTTTGTGAGGTTCCACCAACCCAACGACCACCAGCTTTTTATTAAAACAGGCAACCTGGCTTTCTCATCCTACGGTTTGCGGCACCTACTTAGGTCTGTTTCAATTTATCTACCCATAGGGTAATGCGTCAGTCGACAACCGCGAGGCTGTGTGTGGTGCCAAAAAACCCACAGGCTTATCATATTCGGTCGACCAACCCATCTTTTCCAGTATGAACGCTTGCTAAGAACGGTGAATTGACTATACTGATGCGTAAAATTGGCCCCCAACAACGTACTAACAACCTTAAACTCAACGGACCGAGGGGAAACCAGGATATACATCATATCAGCCAGTTCCCAGATCAAGTGCACAAACTCACTCTACAAAACGAGGGAATGGTGCGATCCAGCGATATTGTGCCAAGTGCTTGTGAAGTCAGTAAACTAGTAATTGTTATCTTCCGTCTGAATACGAAGAGAACACAGTCCTTTCGATATCCATGATAGCAAACTTGGAGACAGTCAGGGGGACTGATGCTGCCAAGGTCAGAAGAGTCGCGCTTAGGTGTAGGTCTGTAAGAAAAAAGTAAACGTAAAATGATTCAGAACGACTTGGTAAGTTGCTTTCATGATTCTACGGAAGCCATGAAGTGAACCTTTCGCTAAAAATAGGAATCGAACATTAGCGCCTAGAAGGTTTTTTCAGTCAAGCGCACGTTGCATTCAGCGAAATACGAAATATGTCGAGGGTATGACATTACCTTGGACGTTGACATTGTCGTAGACATTCGCTTAGACAGTAATACCACTGCCGTGTAAGGGTATATTACGATGAATATGTTGACCATTGGAAACACGTTATCTTATATCATCATCAAAGGTGTCAAGTTATCAGCTTGGGCACCAAAAGCCAGCAAGAATATTAGCGCAGGACTGTTCTGGTAGGCTCTGAGAAGCCAGCACTGTAGGCACAACCTGAAGAAAATTTTATATGAATTTGTGGATGGACCTGCCGATGCGGTGAAAAGTGCAGCTGATACTGGTACTTTTTTTAGCCCAAACGTCCTTGTTTGTTGTGCAACCGCCATAACGACGAATTGCAATAGTGCATGACATGAAACTACCATATCTATGCCGTGTGCAGTTATTTTTATGGTTGTAAACGCACCGATTGAGGTAGCAAGTTGCTTAGAGCTCATCGGTTCGCCGACGTTAAGCTCGCCCTAAAACTAGAACAAATGCGTAACCACTTACAGCTAGAAACCCTTTTTGAATAAAGTTATCTATCAGTGTCACTTTCAAAAAGGAATAGTCTGTGACCTTTCCCCTATTTTTTCAGGATTCGTGGTGCCTTTGTATCCATAGATTTCTCTATTTATGTAATCTCATGGTTAGCGCAAAATCCACCCTATGAAGACATCGCGGGCGGATTTAACTTTGTTACCGTGGTTAGCATTGTGATTTCATGCATCCAGCAGCCCCAATGCCCATACAAAACTTACATCAGCATCACACCGAGCCATCTTGATAGCTTCACATGACACTGCTGATCAGCCCCCGGTTTTCTTGCCGTGGCGCCGTTCTAGAGCGGTTGTATGAGAAGGACAGTACACATTTCTACGGAAAGCATTCGTGACAGGAACTTCTTGGCTATCATTTTCGACGGGTCACCCTTAGTAGGATGGTTGAGCGAGCTTTGTACACGAAATTGAACATTAACTGAAGTAGTACACTGCGCCATCCTGCTAAAAGTGGTGAACTGGGTGGCTGATAAAAACTCATCGAGCCTCCCCTCACATGCAGTCGATTGTCAGACTGCCATCCATTGGACTGGCAACGGTAAGCAACAGAATCGCCACAGTTGGTGAGAATGTTCGTCCAAACTGCAAGTGCTAAAGTGACAAGCATTATTTGGAAGTGGAGTGCAGTACTGTAAGAATTAATTCGTCGGCATCCCGCACTTTCGGATGCTACAAATCTTCATTAAACCCGCTCTGGACTGAGGAATAAGTATATCCAGTGGAGTGTTGACGGAAAGGAAGAGCAAGACTGCATCTAATCTCCACCACACATCTTGGCGGCCATGTAGAAGCCAGAAAGCGCATCCCGATGCTCTAGTTTATAAAACGAGCGCAGTGTGCATATTCCAGACCTGCTGAAAAAAACAGGCCGTGTTATTCTCCTTGTTGTGTGACAAAAGATGTTGGATGTCACTGCTCGGAATCTCAAAGGAGGCTGCCAGGACTACAACGGACAAGAGAGCCTTCTAACGAAATGTACGAAGTGTGTCATCATCATCATCATCATCATCATCATCATCAAAGACAGCAACATTAGTGTTGGTACTGACGCTTCACTCCCGTACAACCATAAGTTTTGTCTACAGTGAAGAGAAGAGAAAAAAGTGGGTGAGGGAGGGAACCCAGTGCTGGCCTACGTCAAGCATTCTGAGGTGCCTACATCTCCAATCGCTCAATCAGACAATCTGGAAAGAAACTGACAGCACAAACGCCACTGACATCGATTAGCCGCCATTTCTTGCAACGTCTCCAACCAAGCACAGACGGGGTCACGGGGACCCCATCCTGGAAGTCGCAGAACACCAACAATACCCAAACTCTTCGTGATCTCTTCCATGCCTTTCCGCCAAGTCATGTGCTGTCCACCTCGCGGTTTGCGCCATCCTGAAGGAGACACGGAGAACAACACTCGTCTCGGTAGACGGTGTTTCGGCATGCGTAGCACATGACCGAGCCATCGCAGTCAATGATGCTACATGTTTTCCCGGATTGAAGTGCCTGCAGCACAACCAAATACCCGTTTTCTAATCGCCTCGTTACTGACACGCTGACGCCATCCACAACCAGCCACGCTTCTGAGGCATCGGTGGTCGAAAACCTGAAGACGCCTCACATCATCTGTCCGCAGAGGCCATGTCTCGCACCTATACAACAACACAGCTCTTACTGTAGCCTGGTACACACGACCCATAAGATCCAGTGAGATGCCTTTTTGACGCCACAAGTGACGCAAATTAGCAAACGTGATTCGAGCCTTTGAGATTCTTGCACTGACTTCATCAGACACACTTCCGTCAGAGCTAATACAACTACCGAGGTATGTAAAGTTTTCCACAATCTCCAGTGGTTCTCCTTGAACTGTAAGGGATATGTTCGCAGATGGCACGTTCTGAAGCAGGACTTTGCACTTCGAAGGTGCAAGGCGCATGCCAAATGATGGTATGATGGCGGTCAGTTTATTCAACAGGGCTTGTGCTTCGCTAAGGTCTTCAAAGATGAGGGCGATGTCATCTGCGTACTCCAGATCGACAAGGCTCTCGCCAGCAACAATTTGAACACCGGGGTTTTGAAAACCGTCCAGTGTTCGCCTCATTATTTCATCGATGACGAAGTTGAACAAGAATGGGGAGAGTGGACATCCTTGTCTGACACCACTTTTTGTAGGAAAGCTTTTGGAGAGCTCACCATACACCCTCACCCGCCCAGAAGTATGTGAATATAGAGATCGGATTATGTTTACAAACTTCTGGGGCACACCCTGTTGAGCAAGTGTAGTTAACAGAACTGATCGATCAACAGAATCGAACGCACCCTTGAAGTCAAGGAATACCAGGATTGTGGGTCGTCTGTACATGTGGCGTTGCTCTAACACCTGACGGAGCGTGAAGATGTGGTCAACGCAGCCTCTACCCGGTCGAAATCCCGCTTGATTCTCACGAGTCAAGACTTCGCGTGCCGCCATAAGACGACGAAGAATCAATGACGCCAGAAGCCTTGTCACAACAGGCGTCAAGCTAACGCCTCTGTGGTTGCTGCATTCACTGCGAGTACCCTTTTTGAAAATGGGTACCACTATCGATTCACCCCAGTTGTCTGGGACGGTCTCCTTCTCCCAGATAAACCCAAATAGGCTAGACAGGCACTGACTGAGGAATCCACCGCCATCCTTGAAGAGAGCAGGTGGAAGGTCGTCAGGACCAGCAGCGCGATGGCGCTTGAGTAGAGAAATGCATTCGGACACTTCTGAGACTGAAGGCGGCTCCATATTTACGGTCCACCTTTCTGTTGAAGGCCGGGTTTCTGGATTGGGGTTAGCAGGTGGCCAGCTGAATTGTTGTTCGAAGTACTGTGCCCAGCGATCCAAACGTTCTGCTTTGCTGCATATCAGGGAGCCATTTTGGTCCCTGATTGTTTCACTGACAAGAGGTTTCCGAGGACCAGTCGAACGAATCAAGTGGAACAATTTGCGCACGTTTCCAGCATTCTTTGCATCTTCCATTTCTTCGACCTTTCGGGTCCACCAAGCTTCTCGGTCTGCGCGGACACTCAGTTTCACCTGGCGTCGGATGATGCGCCGGGTGGAGTTGTGGTGGCGACCAGTTGGAATCTGTCGCCGGGTCTCCAGCAAAGACACGGTCCTATCAGAGATCCAATGCTTGGATGAAGTTGGCTGGGTTGTACCGCAAGCAGACGCTCCTGCTTTGAGTAGCGCTTTGGATATTTTTTCCCAGTGGCCGTTTATATCCGACACCGTACCGTCAGGTAGGCATTCGAGGAGCTGGTTCTGATAGTTTCGTTTGATTTCTGGGTCCACTAGCTTCTCAATGGCTAAGCGAGGTGTGCGCGTTTAGTGTACACCTGAAAAGCGCAATGAAAAGCAACAGCGTACAAGTGCATGGTAGGAGTCCACGCTGGTGTAGGTGGTAGGCGGTGATCGACCCTCGCCACCGATAACTGACGGCGATGTGGTCTATCTGGATTCGGCGCTGGTTTGATGGTGGACACCACGCTGTCAAGCGATTTCCGCTGTTCCGGAAATTCGTATTGCAAAGGAATAGTCTTTGATCAGCACACATCTGAAGTAACCGGTTTCCGTTGTCCGTGCGTCTCGTGTCCAAACCAAGACGACCACCCAAACAGGCCTCAGCAGTGCTTAGTCTACCTGCCTGGGTGTTCATACCACCAGCGACCACAACGACATCTGAGATTTTAGCCTGCTGTAGAAGAGCACCTGGAGTGTCATAGAAACTGTCCTTGGCAAATTCAGAGCTACAGTCAGTTGGGGCGTAAGCAAACACAATAAACAAAGTGCGATGAACCTCGCTTCCCCTAGATTCTCTCACAGATGTTGCCAAACGAACCGCAAAGAGGCGACTGTCAACGGGTATCCAATCAAGCAGAGACGCTCAATACAATACCCACCCCAGCATATCCAGCTGCAGCGGCCTCTGCATCGCCAGAGGTGCGCAGCCGGAACCTGGGGAAGAGCGAGGGGGCAATCAGTTCGATCACAGTACTTGCGCCTCGCGTCCTTCTTTCTGACAGACAACATACATCGATACAGAGGGAATCCAGCGTACGCGCAAGAGCCACCTGTTGATCTGCTTGCTTCAGTGTGCGAACATCGAAGGTGGTTTGAAAACAGACTTCGAAGTGTTTAGGGTTGTAACTGAACTCGGACGTGCAGAAGCTGCAGCTGAGTGTGATGCAGGGCGAGCAACACGGTCAATCCTAGAGATAAGACCTGAAAAGAAAGCATTCGAATTTGGGTGGGGGAGGGTGAAAGAAGGAAAACGTGGAAGTGTAAGAAGGGAAGCGTCAGAGTAGCCTGTTTTCGCTTACCCGCCCTGCTGTACGCAGCAAGTAAGGCTATCCGGCTGATGGCACCACGCGAAGGCCGATGTGGCATAAGAATATTGTTAGTTGCGTATGTACTGGTTGTACGAGGGCTGGGATACTGCCAGGGCGCCAACACCTAGACAGGAGGACGATTAGGGTCCTCAACCAAAGCCTTTGGCTCAAAAACCTAACGCAAGGCAGTGGTGTTTGGCGGGAAATGCAAGTACGCTACCATTTTTACGGAACACGTCGCCATACATGTTCCAACCCCCAATCTGGAGGGCCAGGAGAATGTGTTCGTCAGACCTCTACCATAGACCAACCTGGTATGAGAGACTCTGAGCATCGTGCGGACACTATCCCCAGTATAGCTCAATGGGTCGCCGAGGTACACAAACCGCCACACCATGGTAAGGTCGTCCCTTCGTGACGGTGTGTGCCGAGGGTTCACTTAATATCGTAAAAAGCATACTATTTTACGTTGCGCTTTCACCATCAAACATAGGTGAGTCACTAAACACCGTGCGAAAGCAACACATGAGCTGATCAAAGCACCAGGGTTACAAGCGAAAGACGGAGCATAATCTGATCACTATGATCTCAGTAGTTGGACGAGGCATCGCGGAAATTCATATTGTGAATTGGGGATAAGTATGCTCAGTTTAAGGGGCTTAAGAACAGCAAAAACCACCTCGAAGGCGCTGGCCGAAAGTCCGGACCGCAACAGCCAATTACGAACCAGTATGTGCCGAATACCAGTTGCCAATGGCGCATCCAGAAGGGGTCAGAATTTCCATAATGTAATGCGGCGAAAACTTTACATACGACGCGACGTACAAGTGGCTGGATTTAACGAATTCCGAATGAGACGATCAAGGGACAGTATTTTAATCAAGCACAGGATACGCATAGAGAATTCATCCAGCAATCCAAGCTAAATTGGCCGGGCTGTGCGTTACGCATACCGAGTTACCGCCTGCCCAGACGAGCACCGTTTTCCATGCCTAATTCGGAGTGGCAGAAATCTAGTGGGCCGGATTTGAAACGGCAGAAGAGAATGAGGAAGAATTGGGGTTCACGACGAAAACCTTCGACTCAAAAGCCCAACAGCGAAGCAAGGATAGTGGGTGTAAATTCGCCGCAGAAGTCCACATTTTTGAGGTGAGCTCGCCACTAAAGTCCAAACCTGAAAGTGGAGGACCAGGACACTGTTGGTCAAATCCCTATCCATTGAGCGACCTAGTATGAGGTTTGTGTCGTATACAAACGTCCAAGTACAGTTGTAAGGGTTACCGAGGTGCACAGACCGTCGGGAAGGTCCGGCCTTCTCATGATAGGCTGATCGAATTCAGAGGACATTAGAATTAATAATCCGTTTATTTATTAGAATTGGATGTCCTGCTCCAACCTTGTTTTGAAGTATGGCATTACTGCGCCAGATACACACAATACGGCTGATGGAAAGTAGTACAGCCAGTGCTGATAAATGAAGTATGAGAAATCAATCTGTTGCAAAATGTAGGGCTGGGACACTAAAGACATACGTGACCCAAGTTGGAACAACACAATATCCAAAAGCAATAAAAACTTACCTTTCAAGAGTGGCACCGTTGGTACTTGCGTCGGTAGCACATTTTGAGGATCCAAGAGACGGAGATTCTTCTAAAAACTGAGTACCCAAGGTAACGTGTACAAACCAAAATCGCTGAATTCAATGGGAGGTTTGTCAACCGAGAATGCCGAAGTAAGAGAAAAGTTGTTAACAACTGTGAACCTGGCTGATCCTCCAACTAAAAATGTAAGAGAAGGGCAAGTCGCGTACGCATGATATTTTTCATGTTATGGGGATCCATTGAAACTGTGAGAAAGTGTTCGTTCACGCTTGTCTTCCAGAGGGGTGTTTGTGTCTGTGTGTTCCACAGTATGCAAATCCCTTTAGAGTGAATGGCGAACAAAAGATCGCGAGAAACGTTCTGATCTTCTATCCACTGAAAATCTATGGCAAAATATCACGAGAAATTAGTCCCTACCTAGGACATTATGGCCGGGTTCGCAAATCTCCGATACAACACTCGCAGTCACGACATCCCAGATTATGATCATACCGCTCGCATCTGCACTGGCTAATCGAAGTCCATAAGGATTTTTGTGGTCATGGTAAAAATTCTCTGGAGCCCATTTCACCTGAAACCCCTGTAGGAAATGGTCACAAGACCTACGATTTGAACCAAAGTTCTGTGACCCTGTAATGATTGTACAGGCTAAAAGTAGTTTCACGTTAGAGAAACAACTCACCCGAGCGTTATCCGGATCGAGAATAATGATAGTACTGAATGATCCATAGGCTACTAAGCGCTTCCAACCACTAGTAATGTGTAAGTTTGGCAAAACGGTCTCACTAGCTGAGAGCACATGTTGAGTTCGGGGAAATAGCCACCGAGAGGACTCTAGGACGCATGCCACCCGCAACACCCAGAATTGACAATCGACTACTGAGCCGCTCCCAGCGCGTGACCAGCAACGCGCACAAACCGGGTCAATTGCTTTATAGGCTATGCATATTTCAGCGTTCTGATTGGCTCACGGATTCACGGATTGACACACAGGATCAAGGCTCTTGCCCAAGTTTCCCGGATCGGTTTCGTTCTTGTTGTTCAGCTGCTGTCGTTCATCTGAAAGGCACAAATTAAAAACGGTGTTCTCAGCGCGGGGTAGTATGCTTGCCAGAGCGAGGATTCACATGAATAAATGTCTAATGGTGCTTTGAAGTGGGTTCTAGAAGGAGCGTGGACAGCCATTGGAGGAAGGTCATTCCACGCAGCCACTATCCGAAATGAGAAAAATTTTGCTTTACTAATGCGCGCGCTCTGAGCTAGAAAATCTTACCATGTCCCCGCCAAGTGTTCGCTGGGTCAACGGTGAAAAACCTGTTAGCCAGGCTTCGTTCAAACAGGACGTAAGTAAGAATTAGGTCCCCTCGGAGGCAAAGATACTCCAGGGACGATTCTTATTTTGGAATCTGGAGTAAGGCGTCGTGCCATTTGCCAAGTTTCTTCCAAATCCATATCCGATTCCAAATGACGAATCGGGACAGGTAGAGGCATTTCTTTGGCGCTTTCTGATGTGGTCTTATTCAAAAGGTTCAATAGGTTTGCACACGAGCGGGAAGCCGAACGCTGGTAGACTCGATCAGTTAGTTATCGATTCTGGCAACGAATTCGAGTTGCATATGTGGAAACAGTTAGTAGTGCCCCAGCTCGTGGGGTAAATAGTACGTTGTGCGCAAGTGATAAACGCAATTCTGGTTTTAGTCGTGTGATTACAACAAACTAGCAGAACCATCATTGGTTGCAGTTTAGCGTACTCCATATATTTGAGCATAGAGATAAGTCAGGAAGCAGGAAGCAAATGTAAATGGTGGTAGTGTGATCAGCCAGGCGTGACCGGTATGCTGTGAGGAAAGTTTTGAGAAGAGGTGGTCGCCATCAGGTTACCATCACCATGCTGAGAAGAAAGAATTCAGATCCTTTCGCCCACGAGTTCATTGCAGAATGGAACATTTTTGGAGGAGAGGCATCTTTTTTTATGGAATGGTTTATCTGTGTTGAAGGAACCCGAGGCTCCGGATTTTCGTTGCGAGGGACGGACTGGAGAATCATTCATATGTACTAGGGAGAAAGAGGCTGTAGACGTATGTAATACATCCTCGGGGCCGAAAGTATTACGAGAGGGACAAACATTTGAAACAACCAATCCTGTTGGGAGATCAAAAACAGTCCTTTTGACCGTAGGCTCTAAATTTCAAGCATATAAACGTCTTTGGCTAGCAAGGAGAGCTGTACGCTGCTGTAGCATTCCTGACGCAGATAGGAGGAAAGGAATATAGTATGGTTGAATTAAGGAGAATATCCTAACTCTACAGTATTTTGGAGACCATCATGGGGATGAGGACTGCAGCGTTGCCCCACAGAAAAAGAGATTAGGAAACGGGTTTCAACTGGACACGCAGGGGTTCCTAGGGTGCGGCGAACCTTTTTGAAAACGCTTGGTGACAATCGGAAGATTTATTGCTGGGCAACGTTTGGCACAAAAGCTTCGTTGAGAACCTTGGTTTTGTAAAAGGAAGCGAGGACGCCGAAGCCCACTGCGATATACAAGGACTGACCAAACGGACCTGTAAGTCATCCGCACAAGAAGGCGCCAAGAAGCCAGGAAGAAAAATGCTTGGTTAAAATTGAAGATTGGAAACAAACTTGTCCTTATAACAGCTTCACGTGAGCCATACGTGTCCTGTATAAAATTGACTCGTTGATTGAGGGTAAGGCGAGGAACTATCTCAGCTTTGTGCTTACCGCAGACGGCTTTACGCAGTACTGACTTCCGAAAAGACCAAAGTCAAAAGTCTACACGTTGTCTTCAAGCGACCCACCAGTCAAGGACACAAATTGGTCACATTACTACCAGTTACCGATGGCTTGTGTAAGTTGCTGACTGTTGCCTGTCTCGGAACACATTTGCGGTATTCTGTCCCAGTACGGAGTTTCACCTCTCTTCGCTTTCCAGGCCCGAGCAAAGACGCGAAATTCACTCAGCAACTGAAAAACCGGCAGATCGCGAAATTGGACGAATTAATCAGAACTGACTCCAGGACACTCTTTCAACGGGACCGTCTTCTGGTGTCATTTTGTATTGGAGCGAGATCTCTGCATCCTTTCACAGCACCGGGTTTATCGCCTGTAGCAGAGCACTGTCAGGCACGCAGTGTCATTGATTTAACACAGAACTGTAGTACCGCCTGAATTTCTAAGAAGTGTTCTTTCTTGCCCCGATCATAGCTCAAACCGACGAAATAAGCCTATCCTTAGACGCAGTCTAAATATCTTTGAAACCATTGTTTTGGTTCATTATTTTCCACAATATGCAATTTTCTTGTAATGTGTCAGGCAGTATGCCTGTCTTTCCGCCCTTTCGTTCTATTTTTGCACTCCATGTTCAAATTCCTACAATTTGATGTTGCTTCAATTCTATATTTTACCCGAAACTATAGAAGCGGTGGTGGTCGTGCTTTCCTGCTTTGCCGGTTTTAGGGGGGATCACGTCTACATTGGATGATACCAAACGTTTATGACACTGCCCCTTTTCCGTTCAATCCCCTATACCCACATTTTATGTCAGCCATGATTCTACGATCGCGGATAACGGTGTGCTACCCGGCAATTTGGAATAAATATTGTTATAGTGCTTTATCATTTGCTGATATTTATTCGAAATCCTAATGTATCCAAATGCTACGCAGTTTCATTGAAAAATGTTCAAACGTAGTCGGGGTCAACTATGGGCCTGGAATCCATATTTTAGTGCCTGCCATTGGTTTTGGATGTCTCCGTGAAGATGGTGGGCAATTTAGGGGAAAAATTTGTTTCTTCCAAGTTATCTTCTATATTTGAATTTGAAAACAATCTCGAAACTACACGAACATCATTCACGCCCTCTATGTCCATGCGAAATCAAACTAGGCCAGCATTTGGCGGCCCCAATAGAAAGAATTTTTATATCGTTGCGGCATGTGTCTCACCAGACAAAGCCAGGGAATTTGTCACAGCTAGTAAGATTTAATGATGGTTAAAACGCGCTATATCAGGTGCGTAGCAAAGTTTTATCTTCACCCTTAAGCAGGTGCCTTGATAATGTCATTGGAAGAATGAGTGGGTGTGTGTGCAGAACGGGCAGGTAGCAAAATGGGGTGGAATGTGCTCTAACGTTCTGGTGCTTATTCAACAAATTGGGACGGTCTTTTGAGCGCATACAACATGCTCTGTCCGGAAATGTTGCGGGTATGAACTAGGGCAATCCATCGGACTAGGTATGGTGGTTGCTGTACCGTCATCACGACGTCGTTTTTCGATCCATGGACAGCCTTTCACATAAATATCGTGGAGTGTCAATTGGAGTTGGCATGGTAGTTAGGATTGGCATAACGTGACAAATCAAGACCAGCATGGATCAATGCGCTCATCGAGGGCGCATTGTGCTTCAAATCTGCCATCTAAATACATCAATAACACAGCTGTGACCAACACAGCTGAAACCAAAAGTGTCAAGAAAATGTGTGGAAATTTCTCTACTGCGGTATGAGCCAGACTGTGTTCTGCAATAGCAGGCAGCCAAATGTGGTCACACTCTGACTACTACACTGAGGTGATGCTGCTTGATTACAGAGACGGTAATCGATATTCACATCGATGAGAAAAGGTATGGGCATATACATTTACGTGGTACACGCATTAGATAAATTGTGCGCAAATGTTATGTTTCGGACCACGCAGGGTTATGCAACCAGTGTAAAACAACGACTAGAGCCAGCCGCATGGGCGCTCAACAAAAGTCACCTTCATTTTGGTTTACTCTTCCTCCACTGCAGAAGGCGGAGCATGGGGTTCAGCAGAGGGTATGAATAACCTCGGGGAGGGGGCATGCAGTTGAAGTAATCTCTGTCAATCGCACAGCCTTCCGCGCCGTTGATGGAGAAGGTGCGAAGGGGGTGGACGTGGTAGGGACGGATAAGCTGCTTTGTATTTTTAGATTTCCTCACGTATAATAAGACCTCTCCAGAAACGTCTGTAAACAACGCGGTGTCTGTGACGTTCTGAAATATGAAGACGGTATGCTTGCTACCTTCCATTGTAAGGCGCAGCTGTTTTGGATGAGCTACGAGATGAGCCACACGAAATTGTGGAGCGCTTTAATTAAGTTGGAAGTTGTAGTAGTTCTGGTTGTATGGTGATACGTGAGGTTGGTGCAAGACTTTTCAACGCTTGGGTTGCGTTTATTAACTTGAGGCACCTATGGCATCAAAGCGGTGTATCCCTGAATCTCAAGGGATGTGCGTACCAGGCTGCAATGCAGGTTGTTTTGTTGCATGGCTGCAGGACTTGGCCTGTTGGAGCAGCGAAACTGAGATATCTTCGGGTATTTGAAAACCGTTGTATCGGAGCCATAGGTCGTGTAGGTTGGCTTTGACAAATCAGTAATGAGGCAATTACCCTGTGAGATATCGGTTATGTGACAAGGGCTTCCATCAAAGAACGCATTGGCTAGGTGGTTAATTGCATATGACAAGGTATCGTCTGCCGAAGAGAGTACCATTTTTCGTGCCAAGTTCAGGGTAGCAGAAGCAGAGGGGTG